AATGTAATCTATATATATACTGGGAATATTTTCAAAAATTAACTGTATGTATTTGTTGCATAAATTTAGTATATTTTCTATAAACCATAAATAGATAAGAAAAATGTTTAACATTGTAATATACTTTAATTCAAGTTGTATCAATAAGGAACAATAAAAGTAAAATAATTACCCAACTTCTAATCGAGCTTCTAATGTTTAAAATCATAGTAAAAACAAAAATTTGTTGAAACAATTTAATAAATAAAAATAAAAGTATAAAGATCATTTAATATTTACCTATGCCCTACTAAAACTAAGATAAGGGAAGATTATTTTATTATAAATTATGAGACATTTAAACAAAGCATAATTAAATTAAATACTATATTATCGTCCTTGAACTGTACAATCACTTTGACTAGTCTTCTAATATTGGTCAACTAAATATACAATTTAACCATAATCACACTAATTAAAACAAAACAATAATTAATAAAATATCTATTTTACCACCTACTCCAAACACATTATAATATAATATAATATAAAATTATATATAAAAATTATGATTTTAGACTTGTAAATTTAGTTGCCAGGTAAGTAGTTTTATTTCGTATTAGACTACGCTAAGTTCATTTTTTTTGCAGTCATTATTAAAAGAAAAAATGGTTATTAATTTTCATAAATAATACAAAATCCAAACAGTGTTTAAATAATTATAATTTTAGAATATTGCAAAACGATTATCCACACCCAAAAAAGGTTGTAAACAACATCATAAATTGAATACACATATTCATATTGTAAAAACATCATAAATTGAATACACATATTCAACAATTAAGCCTAGGTATCTCCTATTTTTTAGAAAATCTTTGTACAGTATGTAGTCCAGTGTCAAGTGTGCGAATTTGATGAGTGTAAATGTGTACTAGTAAATGAGGCAGTAATATAATTATAAAATGTACATAATATCCATATTAGGTAGGAATAAAATAGGAACCAGTATGGTCAAATTACAGTTCAAAGGTTTGCCTTCAAATGAATGGAATTTTTGCTATGAAGGTGTTTTTCTAGAAGCAAGACCAAGCATGTAGGAGGATAATGAGGAGTCAAGTTTTGGATCATTTTTAACTCTAGATCACACACACTTAAAATATTCACGAGAATACACGTACACGGTCTTTTTAGTCACCCACAGTATGGTGCAAATCATAGTCAACTAACCAGTCACAATGAAAATATAATAACTATCAATTTCGTTTATCGAGCAGCAATTATTAGAAACACAGTTTAAAAATAACCCATAATTGATTTTTTACGATCATGCACAGGGTCTTTTTGACCGTATATTAATATGTAATGTCTGGTAATGAACTTCGAACACTTCTATATAACTGATATCAGATCATATACAGTTGGGAGTTGTATCTAATTTTAGTTTACCACCTAATTAGAAGGTACCTAGGTTGGATTAGGTTAATGTTAATATTTCGTATTTTTGAAACAATGAACAAAATTCTAAAAGCCCGTAAAGCGTGTGCTCTTGGGTCAATTAAATATCTGTTTGTTTTGTATTTCATGAGTATATTTTCAAAGGTTTTGTAAGATAAAAACATACCTAACCAAATCGCAATTTGGTGAAAATACGATTTTATTAGGTACTGAAAAAATGCTGAGCAATTATTTTGAACATTACAACGATGGGGAAGTGGCACAGGGGGGAACGTGACGGAAGACATCCTCACGTCAATATATTATATTCTCAATGAACAAAAAAAAAATGTGCAAGTGTAAAACGAATTGAAAACCATAATAGAAGATGTATTCAAAGTTCCCACCTAAGTGAACCAAAACAGTCACCTGTCAGTGTAATATTTCTGTACATTGAATCGCCAAGCACAGCATAATATACACTAAAACATTATTATAATGTACCTATAGTCACCATATTGTAAACAAACAATCGACAACTGGTGCTGGTGGGTACATCGACGTAGTGTAATTATATAATTATACTCAACAGGTTTAATGTAAAAACTACGACGCACGGACAAAATATGTGCATAGTAGGTGCATACGACGTGTAAACAATGATTGGCTAGCTATTGCCTAATATCCCTGTAACACCAATACTGAATACACTTTGGATGGGTGAACGTCGTAGAACATTGGTCGGCGGGGAGGACATGGCTTGTTTGGTTCGCTCGTTGTTCAAGGGGCACGGGGGTAGATAATGTCAAAAGAAAAACAAGTACACTTACTGCGTTGTAGTAGTAGTAGTAGTAGTAGCGGGCGACTGGATAATAATAATCTTATGTAATTTTCCAATCAGTGGACGACGACAATGACATTTATTTTAACGTTCGACGACGATAAAGAAAGCTCGGCGTAAGAGCGACGGTCAACGACACACGAATATCAGCGTAATGTGCAAGACGACAGGGACAATGAAATGCGGAACGGTGTACCGTGTACGACGCACGGACCACAGACAAGAATACTGGTGCGGTCGTGCGGAGTGAGGACTGTGGAATCAGCTACGACGCAGAGTATTGATTGATAAACGCGAGAACGCCGTACGCGACGAATCACGAGTGACGACACGGAACGATGCGATGACTAGTGGCGGCGGCGAGTATTATACATTACAGTACACTCGTCTATGGATACCGATCCATATCGACCGTCGGACCGTTCACCGTTGTTACTTGTTTCGACTTTCGGCGCGCCGTACTGCCGTCCGGGCGATGTCCTTGAGAGTTGAGGCGATTTGACTATTTGAGTACACTGTCGACTATATAGTAACAGTTACTTAAGTAACTGAATACTGATCAGAATATTGACCAGTGGTTGGTGTATCGTGTATGCCAGTGGAGTCGTGGTATACTTATCTACCGTGATGCTTCGCGGTGACGATCGTTCTTCTTTCTTCGTTACCACTGCTCGAGTTGTTGAACTTCAGCACAAAATAACTATTAACTACTACTGTCACTGTACTTGCACTGATAATTGATATAATATAATTTAAATTATAATACATACTATAGGGCATAGGTCCATTTACTAGTCAAAAAGTAATATTTTTTTAAACTTTTTAACTTAACTAGTTGGTTAATTATCTAATCATCTGATAAACTTAATTATAGTTGAATTGACAGATGAAATAACTTAACTTTCCTAAAATGATTTTGTAAAAAGATTTTTTATATATAATATATTTGTATGGTTTCGCAACATTCAGAATTAACAAATTTTGATTGGATCAAAACTAAGTGTGTAAAAAAAATAATAACAGTTTTAAAATTGTAGTTCCATCTTTTCGCAACAAAAGATTTTTTATAGTAGATTAGATTAGGCATCATATTATAACATGACCTTAAATTGCTATTTGATATAAAAAACTTAATATTCGTTAAATTATTAATTGGGATGTTTTGGATAGTTTAAATATTTAATAATCATGTCAAGTTAAATAAGGTACTAACACAGTAACACTGTAGGTACATTATTATTCTAATTTAGAAAATTAAAAATAACTCGGTCACTCTTTATGTGATCCACATACTAATTAAAAAAGTAGATTAACTTATTTTAAACTGAGTTAAGTTAATATTATTTTCCCTATTCACTTTTAACTTATCGATCTTGTGTCCTATCAACTTAACTTAAATTAAGTTAATTATTTTCATTAACTTGACAAACTTTGATACATACCATACATTATATAGTATTATTTTAGATAGTGGAGGACTGAACTTAAATTTTAAATTACGCATTTTCATAATAAAGTACATACCACCACAACCCCCCCCCCCTGTTTTTACTTATAACCAAGTTATGTTATCAAACATATTGTGGTAGGGGTGATCACTGTTGTGCTCAGTGCTCACGAACAGCAGTGTAGCATGACAGGCGACAGAGGGTCGAGAGCGCTGCTCTGCTAATATGTTTTTGTGATGTAAAAAAATTAATAAAGGTTATTAATGTTTAAAATATACTGTTCTAATAATCTTATTATTAATTGTCTAAACCATTTATAATAGTTATGATATAAATAAAATGTGGCCGAAAGAGTCAAGAGGTCGGGCCTTAGCATGTAATTCTGCTCCACATTCACGGGGTGGCATTTTGATGTAACAAACATTTTTCTCCGTCCCTTGCAATTTGTTATATTGCGAATTCACTGTATCACCATTTAGTATTTGAGTATAGAAATAATAATATAACGAAAACGATAAATATTATGTATCTGATCGAAGTATTTAATAATTACATACTAATAAATAATATTACGTGTATTTATTTTGACACTAAAATTGTAAATACTATTAACTAGGTACTTATTATAGCATAGTACAAAGAAAAACATTCTACAATATTATACACGTAAACAAATTTTACTTAAAACTATTGAATACAATAACTCTACATACAGAATAATTCATAACAAACTATAATGATACTACATAAAATCATCAATAAATAATCAAACTTAATGTTTGAAACCAACATAATGCCAATAACATCAAAATACTTAAAATATATTTTCTACGGTAACATTTTTATGGATAAGAGCTAAGAACACACAATATAAATAATATTAATCAAATATCTCATTACCTAAACTACATTATATAGTTTGATGTAACATGTATGTAATTTTATCACAAACAAATATTTTAGTTGATTAACAATTTAAAAAATCAATGAAAAACTAAAACACAGCTACATTTTTGGAGATATGATTTGAATTAGCTCTTACCCGTCCTCATAAGCCATTTTTTTTATTAAATAAGGTCTTTTATATTTGTGATTTTTTGATATAGCAATAGTTATAAGTTTATTCTTATGATGTATTAGTACCTATATTAACTTATATAGCTGTAAACAGCTACCATAAAAGAGTAAACCGCTTATATATAATAATTAAAACCTTAAAATAATAATCAATTATATGTACATTAATGATGCATATATATAGAATATTCTGTTCCTTAAATTTACTATAAAATTAGTTACCAAAGTTTCATAACCTTCAGCCACTTAAAATATGTTGTCAGTGATGCCTTAAAACTATTCTTATAATAATTTGTAACATCTAATGATTCACCAATTGTCTTCATACTCATGCTATGTGGACCAATATTAAGTTCAGTTAACTTAGGAACAGCACGACTCAACATTTCTACACTGTGTTTGAATTCATTTAATTCTGCCTGTAACAAAAACAAAGATTTGGTAAATTAAAATATTATTTATTTTATTAAATGCCATCATATTTTTATAGTAAAATAATATAATTCATTCATAGTACATTTTAATTAAAAAATATTTTTTGAAAATTGCTATGTAAATAATTATAATTATGAATCTCTTGTTGTTTGATCAAATATTCAAATCATAATAACATATTACCTGTGTCGAACACGGTTCTAATGACATATTAGTGAGTGTCAAAACTTTTAATCTTGAATTTGTAATGTGTTGCAAGCATCGGTGTGAAATATTTGATGGTATTATCTTTAAAGTAATCAACTCTAAAAATATAAAGATATGGTTAAAAAAATAATATTAAGTTAATATTTTAATAGGAATATACCTTTCAGATTAGATATTGGCAGTTTAATGAAAATTTCATCATTTAATACAGAACAATTTTCAATCCACAAATGCTTTAAATAAGTGAAATTTCTGAATAATAGTTGTAAATCTTCGACTTTAAGAATACCACCATTTCTTATTCGTAAATTTGTTAAATTTGTACCAAATTTTAGTACTTCTAGATTTGAATCAAGAGAACAGTCTAATGATGTAAGAGACTTCAGCGTGCATTCCAGAAACGGATATATTGGAAGTTCAAGATGATTAATCAAATCAAAACCTCTATTAAATGATAATGTCCTTAAATATTTCAGATTTTTTAACGATTCCACAAATGATTTAATGTAATCACCAGAAACTGAGTAATTCGATTCATGAGCACTATAACTTAATGTTAAGTGTCTAAGATTATATAAATTAGATATAATTGATAACATACAAATAGGTAAGCTAATTATTTTTAATTGTTCTAAAAATACATATTGATTTAATACTAAATTTAACTTTTTATAGTCAATGAAATCACTGTAAATTGTTTGATCAAAATTCAACGACAATGATTTAATTTCAAGTTGTATGGGTTGAATCCGATAAAATATACTAACACCACAATTTAATTTAAGGCTATTTAAGCGAACAAAATTATTTAAATGGTGTACAATATTATCCTCCGAAAAAATATGATTTGAATTATACTTGGAAAATGAACAATCAATATGATTACTGTTGTGGGGATAAAACCTTTTTATGATTGCACTTGAACCAATTAAATTACAACCAAGAATACTTAAATCTTTTAAATTTGGAGCAAGTTTCATAATTAAATTAAACTCTCTATCAAATAATCTAACTCTATCTAAAGTTATACTGCACAATTTGAGTATTGGTTTACGGTCATTATCAGTTAAATGGAAATTCAGCACATTTATAAGTTCTAATTTTTCGAGATTACTACAGCATTGTGTAATAGCATCTAGAAATAAATCATTTAGCGAATCAAAATTATTTAAACTTAGTGATATAATGCGATTCCCTAAGTTTGTGAAAATGGTAAACTCTTCTATATAAGCTGTATGAAAAAATTTCAAACATAACAATTTTCTTCTTGATTGCAACAACATATTTTCAAAAGCGTTAAAGCTATTCCGACTGGCATCATAATATGACTCATAATTAAGTAACTCTTTTCTTAAGAATACTGGGTGACATGAAGCATGATAAAACAATTTATTGACTCTAGCCAGTTCTCGTCGATCATCAAATGGCAAGTATTCCAGTATTCGAGTGATGATCTGCAAATAAAAAACAAAAATATAACTATATAGTACTATATACTTCCAACACGGCCTTGTAAAAATTATTTTTAAAACTGCATTTAAATACAGATACAAATATATCCAATTCAAAGGCATTTAAAAACAAATACAAATACTTGGCATGTACCTATTTAAATACTTTTTTAATTATACTAGTAGCCAGTAGGTAAAAAAATTTATCTTGTAATTAGTAAATAGTAATTAATTATTTGAAATTGTAAGTCACATTTAAGATCATTAGAATTTAGAACTTTGAAATACCTACTTTATTTCATACTTCATAATGAAAAATTAAAATGAATTATTGGTTATATTTTATTTCTAAAATAGGTAGGTACTTACTTAAATAATATTAATAACGATACACCGTTGTTAATGAAATATAAAATAAATTAATATTCAAATAAATGTTAATTAAAACTAAAATAGTATAACAAATAACTACATAATCAAAAAACAATCTGTAGTGTGATAAATAATTCTTCTAAATTTTTGAAAGTACTTACATAGTTACTAATTAATATTTGATTTTTAAATACAAAAATGACCAAGACTGTATTTAAAAAGTATTCCAAACACTATAAAAGTATTCAAATACATTTGTCATTTACTCAACACTTTACAAGACTGCTACAACAATATAACATAAGCCCTAGTTAGGACCAAGTTATATTATAAATGTATTTCACGTACCTCTGACGGCAATGTGTCCATTTCGCAGTGTGTAGACTAAATGATAGTTATAAAAATTGTCGAACACTAGAACGCCTGACGAGTAGGTAGGTGAGATTGTATGGGACTAACTGGATGCCGTTAATTGTTGATTGTTAATAGAACTCTGCAAAAAACACAGTTACAGTTTAGTGTCTGTTTCTAAGATCATATTCAAATATATAATTCATGGTAAAGTCTAAAAAACTAAGTTTACTTTATTGTGGTACAATGGATGTAGGCAGCGAAGTTAGTTGTCTTCAGGCGCATGGAAAATGGAAATGTGAATACTTTATTACTTAGGTTATGTTAGCACTTACTATGGTCAAGCCTTAATGCAGTAAATGGTACTACTGATATAGCTAGGGCAGGATTTGGTATGTAAAGGCCCATCGAAATTTTCTCTTCTAAATATTTTATTACTTTATCATGGCCAAGCGCCAATGCAGTAAATAGTAATGGAATATTATACTGATATAGCTAGGGCCGGATTGGTACTATGTATCGGCCCATCGAGATTTTCACTTCTAAGAGGCCCTATCTACACATTCAGAGGCCCAAATATTACGTAATATAATTATTACGAGCTTATAGGTGGCCAGTCGTATTTTTAACATGAATTTATTTTCACTCACACGACCGGTCAACCGAGATTTTCTCGGTAACTCGCCTAACCAATCTGGCCCTGGGATATAGCATAGTGATAATAATAATAATATGCTACATGCATGCCAAAAATCTATGGCTAAGAAGCTCCCACCTTCCGTAAAAACTTAAAAGTTATAACCACGGACCAAGATATACCTTAGTCCCGTGGTAAAAACACATTAAAATAACGGATTGCAATAAACGCTAAAATATATTTATTTTTTTACAATACGAATAATACGACACACCATGCCCTTATAGTTCCTGATCCTGGGTACAGATTTCCCAATTATGATAACAGAGATAACAGCAAGATATCATTATACCATCAAAACACTGATAGTATAAAACACTATAATCACAGATTAAATAAAAATTAAAAAGTTTTGTTTAATATTTTAATCTGGGCTATAATAACAGAACAAGGTGGCTACTGGCTTTCATACATGTCTTCATGGGCTAGCGTCATGGATTCTACAAACATGATGTAGAGAAGACTTACTCTACGCCTCTACATCGTGTTTACAAGTTTCCAGAGCCATTCGTGGATCTCATGGTAGTCATTTCAATATTTGCTAGGTTAGGGCATTAATTAAATATTAAGTATATTTAATCAATGGTTAGGGTATAAAAATGACCGGCCCAATAATCATAAGACTTTACACATAAAAAAAAGCTGCTCGCGACGTAGGTAACCCAATACGCATTTGATTAATTTTTCAACATTATATTATACTATTGTCTATTACAGTTCCACTTTTGCTAACATAATATTAAGTAGGTACTTATTAAAACGTAATTAATTTTAACCCACATCAACATATTATTATGACCAATTGACAGGATGATGCGCCTTGGCAATGAGCACCCTCACTTGTTTATTATATATCAGCAGGCCCGGCTCAAGGGATAGGCGACATAGGCCCACGCCTAGGGCGGCACATAAGCAGCACTTTAGTAAGAGGGCGGCATTTTCAAAATACTGATAATATTATATTATTAGTGGCGGCAAAATTTGATTTCACCTAGTTCACTATTTTCGCTTGAGCCGGTCCTGTATATCAGTAGGTGTTGTACTGTTGTATTATTACTATCATGTACCTAAAAAAATGTAAATGTATTTGTCTCACTGTATATTATATCTTGTGTTTGTATTATTACTATTGTATCAATAAAATTTCTATTTCTAAAGTTGGGTAACTGTAACACCCACTTAGGTTAAATTTATATATTTTTGTGCATTATATTGGGCTCACTGCCCGTAATAAATAAATAATAATAACCTTCAGTATGGTTTACTCAGAAAACTAAATATATAATAGCATTTTTATAATATTAAAAACAGTAAACGGTTTCCCAATAAAATATTCATTAAATAACCATCTCTGTGGCACTGTTTTACTAAGTATATCTGTATACAAAATATTATATTATGCTTCAAACAGTAATCTATAATAGTACAATTTAAAAAGCAATAAGCATGCCAATTGCATTGCATATGCAAAATAAAATATAAAATATAAGAAATTATAGGCTAATATATTCCATTGTTCCTAATAATATTATTATTTCTATTACAATTTAAACTTTAAAGAATTAATAACTAATAATTAATTAAGCAATAAAACTAAAAGCATACAGATAACAGATACTGTGTATTGTTACTTCTTGCTTAGCTTTTAGATTCTTCGTATTTGCGAAAATGTTATGATATTAATATATTATATCATTGATTAAATATACATGTATATTTAATCAATGATTATATTAATGATAGTGATTAAACTTACTTTATCATCGAGATAACGAAAATAGCCGGTATGTATTATATTAATTATTATTATAATCATGACAAATTAGTTTGTTTTTTTTTATAGTAGATTACAGAAAACCAAGCACGTTTAGACCTGGCACCCGGCCCATTTACCTACTTTAAAATCTAGGGTTGAGCAAATGCATACTCCCCCCCCCCAATGAGGGCCCTGGTGGATCTTAAATATCTTATAAGACCATTCCTTCCGCAGTTCCGCTCATAGACCTATTAACTAGTTAATAGGTCTATGCTTCCGCTACGGCGCTACCACAGAATATTATAATATATTAATAATGTTTTTCTATGATAGTAATGGTGTCGCGCTCTATCGGTAATTTGGTTATTTAGCCGGTTGTGTGACAAAAACAATGATAGTATGAGATCGCACATCGGCGATGTCGACAAGTTGCACACTTCAACAGTTCAACAGTTCAACGCTAGCACAAAACACTAAACAGTAAAAATCTACGACCTACAGGCTACAACACTATACAGATTGGTGTCTAGTGATTTCTGAGATCACTATAGTATAGTTTAGTCAGACAGTACTTAGTTGTAGCACAGAACATTATATTCCATGTCAGAAGTCAGTACTATAGCACTACGATTACACACGAGTTATGAAACTGTCAACTGCCAAAAACATTGACAAGAATACTATGGCGCATATTATACTGTAATACTGGTATACTGGTATACTGGTGACTCATGACTGAAATCTGGAGCTGTACTCAGTGGATAGTGGTAATATAACGAATTAAAATAAACAATATCGTGTCCGGTGATGGTGATGATTTGATGACAAGCTTACGACATTTTCAATATTTTGTTTTCACTGTTCCTCGGGGATATTGTTCGCATCTAAGACTATCAGTACGATTCTGCGAATTCGCTTCCGTGTTGAAGCAATACCACCTACAAATAATGTCCTCCTCGAATCATCATTCGTTGGCTGCAAGGTGATATACCGGCCTACCCCCACTGGTTCGACAAGGCTCCCTCAAGATGAACAAACCGCAATTGAAACCCGAACAGCACAAGAAATATTTTCGCCGCTCATTGGATCTGTTGCCCGGTGAGGTAGCCGTGTTTGATTATTCACGTCTAACCATATTGTATTTTGCTCTCATCGGTTTGGATATATTGGACGGCTTAGATTCACTCACTGATGACCGTAAGAAGGACATTGTTGAGTGGGTGTACAGGTTGCAGTTGGTACCCAATGAATATTGTTCTGTGCACAAATGTGGTTTCATGGGTTCCACCACCGTCATTCATTTGAAGAATCATCCAGGCTGTGAAAAGTATTGCGAAAGCAACGTTGCTATGACGTACATGGCATTGTGTATTCTGATAACATTGGGTGACAATCTGAGCCGTGTCAATAAATCGGCCGTACTTCGAGGTGTAGCATCTCTGCAGAAATCTGATGGCAGTTTCAAAAGCAACTACGAACATGGTGAGAGTGATTTGAGATTTGTGTACTGTTCACTTGCAATATGTAACATATTGAACGATTCATCGAATATCAATGTAAATAATGTCATTAAATTCATTTCAAATTGTCTGAACTATGATGGAGCGTTTGGACAAAACCCAGGAACTGAATCGCATGGTGGTTCTACTTATTGTGCAATTGCGTCATTATCTCTACTAAATAAATTAAATCTTGTGTTAGATGAAAACAAATCTAGAATATTAGAACGCTGGGCAGTAAATCGACAAACCAATGGCGGTTTCCAAGGAAGACCTAATAAAGATCCAGACACTTGCTATTCCTTCTGGTTGGGTGCTACACTCAGTATTATGGGATCACTTAATAGAATAAACAAAGAGAGGAATAGAGATTTTGTTCTAAATAATGCAAATTTATTGACTGGTGGGTTTAGTAAAAACATGGACTCTATACCAGATCCAATGCACACCTGCTTAAGCTTGTGTGGATTAAGTTTGATTGGAGAAGAAAACCTAAACCCTATTAATCCAGCATTAAATATTACCGTGAGGGCGGCTAATTATTTAAAACAAATTCAAGGAGATCATACATTACCAAACAAAAATATACCCAATACAGATACTGATTGTTAAATTAACTGTGCCTACATTACATTTTAATTTTTTAAGATATAATAAAACTCGGAATTAGTCTACATCAACTACCTATGACTGATTTATATTTTTTTTTTACAACTATGAACAATTAAAAATATACCAAATAAATGTCTATTAAAATAAACTAAAATATTATATTATATCTTTTTGACTTGTTTTATACCATATATTTTAATATTGTTAATATAAAATATTATCAAATTGAAAATTGTTTTTATTGAACTTTTCAGATTTAACAAAAGTACCAACCAATTAATTTCTTTTCGTGATCACTGTTTTTAATTATTATAAGATATATAAATTTAAAAAATGAAAATATTTAATCGTAGGTATATATTTTATTCTATTGGTTATTACTTATTACAATAAATAAATACTTTGGAATTTGGATATAATGTCAAATGTACAGATTGGAAACGAGCAGATTGATTTTAGTGGCCCGAATACAAGAGGCAAGTGAGGGGGTCGCAATGGGCCATTGCCTGAATCTAAATTGAGAATTTACAACGCCATGTTGCTAACTATCTGTATAAAACAATGTAATATTATCCATATTCCATAGGGCATAGAGGACACTGTTCTAGTGTTCTCCATAGTCCATACAATATCAACAATCCAACTTCCAAGAACGTGCGTTATTGAGTTATTTTATGAAATATTGAAATATGAATATTATCATTTATCTGTTATCATTATAAAATTATCTCATTTCGTGGATGAAACAGTCATGGTATGAAGTTAGAAACAATATTGCTGATAGCATATCAATCGTAGATTAAAGCCTTGAGGACAATTTTTTTATTTTATTTTAGAAAACTCCTTCAAAAGTTATTATTTAATTATTTTTTTTACTTAAAACTCAAAACTATTTAGACGATTACATATTCTTTTGTTTGGTTGTTTAACTTTTTCAGTATGAATTTAGCAATGTTAACAAGGGCTGGTAAGGATTCAGTTTTTTTTTTTATAAAAATTTAATTAGGTATATGTACTATCTATTTCAATAATCAAACTAAAAACTAAATATCTACCAAAAATTATTTTCTTATAATAAATATTATTAAAATTATTCAATGAATATGAAAAAATATTTTATATTCTGATTATTAATTAAAGTTAAAATAAAGTTAATAGTTTTTAATGTATGTACTAGTAGTTGACCTGTTTCACGTTCACCACTGTGGCACTAGGTACCTACAATTAATATTTTTTAAAAGCAATGCAATTTATATAATATACTTTTTTAATATTTTATATCTCTTTCCAATAAGTGTCTTAAATTTTTGTAATTTTAGTTATAAGCAAATAGGTATTTTTGATATTTAGGTAGTTACATATTATGTTTATTTATTTTATGATTATACGCCCCGAAGATCATTTAGTTAAAAATACAGTAAAGTAGATAAATTATATAAGTTTAATTTAATTATTAATTGTAAACAATATTATTATATTTTATTATGTTCATTGTTGTTACAGGTAATACAGTTTTGCGATCATCTACTCTGATACCACTTAGATCAGCATCGCAAATCAAGTATATAAATGTAAACAGGGATAATGAATTTGAAAATATAAGTTGGGGAGCAATGACAGATCAAGCTATTTCCTATGCATTTGTTACTGAATTATGTAGAGGTAATTGTAACTAAATTATGTTAATTATATGACTACATGAGCACATACAAGAGTAAAAAGTGTATTTAGGGTTTATGTACAGTAGAACCTCTGTTTTACAAGCCCTCTGGCCTCTATTATCCGAATTGCAATTTATGTATCTAAATGTCAATTATACACGTTGTAGTGCTCTTACATATAATCATGTATTTATTATAAATGGATATAACCTAATACAGTGAAATCTTGATAACTCGAACATCTATAAGTTAAATTTTCGATAACCTCGAAGAAATGTCTTCGCCCCTGCATTTCAATTAGTATACACAATTTTTTCTATTACTCAAATTTTTGATCATTCAAATTTTTTTTCGCTCCCAACCGATTGAGTTATTGAGTTTTCTCTGTATTATTACCTATATCCTATATATTATATTATGATAATTAGGTATAAATAATTTAAATATCATATACCTACTAATATTATTATAATATTTTGTATTTTTTTTTTGTGATATGTATGAATATATTAAATATATTAGGTTCGGTTAGGTTACATTGACTTGAAATCAATAATGTGATAATATGATGTGATTATTATGTGGCAATAATTTGGTTTTGAGTTATTCACTATTTTTGAAATCAAATGTAAATTGTAAAAAATACATTTCAATGAAAATTTAAAACTCTTTAGTAACTTACACATATCACTACTCAAGAAAAATTAAATTGCATTTCCCACCTTTGTTTGGACAAAAAAAAAAAATTAAAATATCAGAAAAATGCTAGGTAGAACAAGGTAATTTGTTGCAGTTTATCTGTAAAAACGTGCCAAGTGTCAAAGAAATAAAATTGAGGCACGTATACAAACCCTCACACCCCACGGAAAATTAATAGTTGTGTATTTATTTATATCAATTATTGATAACTACGAGATAAAGGCTACTATGAACTACTATAAATTTTTTTTTTGTGTACGTGCCAGATAAAATAAAAATTTTTTTTTGCGTTTAAAAACTGGGTTGCTGTTCCAATTAGTTTGGATAATTGACGTTATATTGTAAAACACAGAGGACGCATATAGGGATTTTATGCTTGAATTACTGGTGAAATGGTTATCGAAAATCATGGTGAATAATATCCTTTTGATGGGATACAACCTACACATTTTGTTTTCTGTACTGTAGACAAGTGCATAATAGAGTAAATTTGCGAAATCATTTTTATTTTGTTGCATATTATGTGTCAAGCATAAAAAACAGAGCATGTGCAGCAGTGTTGGTCATTCACTTGGGGTTAGATCTCCCCATGCCCTGATTTTTTTTAATATTTATGATATTATAACCATAAATTATATTTCAAATGATCAAATAGTGTTTGTTAAAAAATCAGCCACATCCTTCCTTCCCCCTGACAAAATTATTTGGCCGCCACTGATGTACAGAGTTTTAGTTATAAGAATTTTAATAAATTATATACTTTAGTTTTGAATCCAAGCTAGTATATTTTTGGCACTTACTGAAAAACACTGATCATTATCTTAAAAAACTTAATTTTTAGGTGCTGCTGTATCATTGGCTCATTTTTTCAAGGAACCAGCTACCATCAACTATCCATTTGAGAAGGGACCTTTATCACCTCGTTTCCGAGGAGAACATGCTCTTAGACGTTACCCATCTGGTGAAGAGAGATGCATTGCCTGCAAACTGTGTGAAGCTATATGTCCAGCCCAAGTAAAATTACTGTTATATTTAATAAAAATATAATGTAATATTGAATGTTTGATTTGTATAGGCTATCACTATTGAAGCGGAAGAAAGAGCTGATGGAAGTCGCCGTACAACACGTTATGATATTGATATGACAAAATGTATATACTGTGGTTTTTGTCAAGAAGCATGTCCCGTAGATGCCATTGTTGAAGTAAAATTGAATACAGTTATAATTTCATCAAATCATAGCTTAACATATTGTGTACTTATTTTTTCAGGGTCCAAATTTTGAATACTCTACTGAAACTCATGAAGAACTTTTGTACAACAAGGAAAAGTTATTAAATAATGGTGATAAATGGGAATCAGAAATTGCTGCTAATATACATGCTGATCATCTATACCGTTAATACTAATAATCAACATAGTAAATATATGTGATTAGTTTTCTTCATTATAAAACAATATGTATTACATTAGTTGTTTTACTACATGCGTTATATGAATCTTAAAATAAAATGTACAAAAATATCAAATAGATAAAAATGTTAGTTATTGAAACCGTATTACAGCCTAGCAAGACTACTGTATTTATTTATTTTTTAATTGTTAGATTTTTTTAATAATAGCTTTCACACTGTTATTAATTAAATAATATTAAATAATTATTTCAAAACTAAAATATTAAAATATAGATGTTTTCTTTGTTTAATAGCTATTGTTTTAAATATTCAAATAATCTAATCTAATAATATAAATCATAAATGAGAGTAATATATCTTCAAATATTTTGGCGTTTTTATACTTATGAAAAAATTATAGTATTAACCAGTAAATATTTTACTAGAAGTTTTTGGAAGTTGTTGCTAGCAGATACATCAGGGGTGGCCAAACTTTTTTTGATTAAGATCTACTGAGGGTATATTTTTTCTTTTGGGAACAACTAATGTAAAAAAAATAAACATACTTATATAAATAATAAAATACAAGTGTTAAGTTATCTAAAATGAGTGTTTCATATTAAATTTCTAAATAGTTTTAAAATGTGATACATTGTGACATGGGCGGATAGGCCATTTTTGGCCTACCGGGAAATTATTAAAAGGGGCCCCCAAATGAAAAAAAAAAATGGTCGCTTAGCTCGCACCTACATTATTTGGTGAATTATATTAGCTACCATATCAAAAGAAAACAATGTATAACAAAACTCATTTTTTAAATTTTTTATTTATTTTTTAATTTTAAAATAATAACAACCGCGACCGGGAGATAGTATTTTGGGCCAATTTAATTACTTGTAATTTGCGCCAAAATATGAAAATTGAACATCATGTACTTTGCGCCATCTCTAAAAATTAATTTTGGTAATTTGCGCCACAACGGAAAACGAAATGGAATATGTAATTTTCTATCAACTTAACTTAACTTAACTCAGTTAAAAATTATCATTAACTTGCCCAGGCTTGAGTATATCATGATAATATTATTTACAGTAATTGGATATTAATCGCAAAAATATTAAAAATATATTTATTTAATATACATGGAGTAAGTATATATACATATATTTATAATTATTGATTTTCTATTAAAATGAACTTGATTATTTAGTTATTTTAAAGTGGCGCAAATTACAATTTTGACAAGGTGAACAATGGCACAAATTACAATTTTTGTAGGTAAATGATGGCGCAGATTACTTAATGCCTTTTTATTAAGTTTTGTGTGGTGTAAACTACCCTAATTTTAAACTACTCTAATTTTTAGATGTGGCGCAAATTACATAAATATTTTTTTGGAGCAAATTACATACGCCCCCGGGACCATTATCCGCCACCAACCGGTAATCGACGTTGTAGTTGTTGGCCGTAGTTGATAAGAAATCTTTTGTAAAATACCACAGAATAGTAATAACTAATATATTTATAGAGATAAGATTATAATATTATAATATTTCAAATTTCTATTGCGATTGTATAATATTAATGAGTCATTGCGTTAACCATAAAAAGGGCCCCATTGCCGATATTTATATATGATATAAATGTTTGGGCCAACATAATTAAATACCTGGGGGCAAATGCATTGTCATTTGTCTTGAGGCTAAAACGTACCATGGATAGGTCCATTAAATGTTATTGAACCAATAAATTAATACATTTTGCTTGCAACCTCTCCTCATCAGTATTTCAAATTTCTACTGAAAAGACTTTTACACATTTTTAAACTAAAGAATAATTTTATCATAATAGAACATATTAGGGCAAAATTTGGTTTACATTTTCGATATTGCAAACTTTTTTATGTTAGAGTGGATATTTAATTCCTCAAATATCAATTCGCTGATACAACAATTTGTATAAAAGGGTAATTTATTTTACAAAAAATTGTCAATAAAATATTATTGAACTTGTTCAAGTGCCATAAGTCCCGAGCCCTGCTAATGGCTAATTCTAAAATATATTATTTTAATACCAAAAATATAATTAAACATACTTAGTAATATTATAGGCAATCGTTTTTCGTGTACAATGGTTTTAAATCATTGAATTACAATTTAACCCATCCGTTAACGACTCTGTTCAGCTAAATAACACAGCAGATCGGTACTCACAACCCACTTGCCCGAGTATTGGCAAATGATACACTTGCAACACTCCAATTACGGCATTGCATAATAATATGTTGGTTTGTGTTTTTTTTCATAATGTCAAACATACCTAAAGATAAATAAAACAAACATATTGGTGAAAAATTTTTTTTTTTAATGTGGACAAGACGTGGGTACCGGCGTACCGCTCTGCTGCCCATTATTTGTGTGGCTGTTTGCGTCAATGTAATATAGATGTTAAATTTGAATTAAATTTAAAAAAAAAATCTATGTATCTACAGTCATTTTTGTTAGAGTTACACCAAAAACTAAAATCGATTTTGCGTAAATATTCAAGATTTTCCTTTTTTTAATCCTCTATTTAACGTCTTACAGGTGCGTAAAATAGTAAATATTTCGCTTTCGCTCAGCAGAACACAGCTCCATTAGTTTTAAAATTAGAGTGAATTGACCTCTTATTAAATCTAAAGGTAAGATTATTGTCTTTGCAACCTCATGGGCTTTAATCTTAAAAAATAATAAAAAGCCCGTGAGATTGCCTAAATAATAATCTTACCTTTAGATTTTATGAGAGGTCAAGGCTCTCTAATTTTTAAATTATCGGAGCTACACGTGTTTGCTGAGCGTAATATTTGCGATGTTACGCACTTATTGTAATACGGAGACAACACGTGCGGGTATCACGTAGTCCTCTAATATTTACATATTTATTATTTAATAACTACCTAACCCAGTTAATCCAGACTAATATTAGTGTTATCATTTATCTAATTTACCATAGATACATTCAAACTCCAAAAATTATTTTCTAAAAATAGAAATTACGAAATGTAATGTTGTAATACGTGTATAGGTGCCATACAAAAAATAAATAGTTACAGTACATACTATACATATTATTGTTGTCGAATTTGCCGCTGTAGGTACCTTTGTCACTAATTATTAAAAACAATTAACATAAAAACAAATATTTTATTGTATTATATTTTGTATGCTGTATCAAAAATTATTATCCTGTACATACTAAATACAAATATGTCATGTATATGAACATTAAACACTATATACCTATTGGTGGGTACCAAACAGGAAACAGGAAATCCGATAGCAGATGGTAGTTGGCCAGTAAATTACTACCTACCTATTGTGTTACCTGCAGTTACAGGTGACAGGTGAATTCATTCGTGCGTTGACTCTTGAGTGTTTGGATGTGTAAAATACTAAACTATAATATTAGTTTTCGAATATATTTGTGTTTTCTAGTTTGGATGCAAATGCTTGATGTTTCATACGGCGCGTACGACGACGTTTCGAGTGTCTTTTAAATTATAATTATTACTTTCAAAACCGTTTATACCTATTAATATAGTAGGTATAATTGTATTGATTATACATTATTTCTGCTCTTTTACCGTCCGTGATGGACGAAGACATAAGATACCAACGCCTTCCCCAATCGTTCTCGGTTAGGGAACTCGGGTCTTCCGAAGCAAGGGGTCTATGGGGAATCAAACACACTCGAAAACCAGTCGATTTGATGGTGGCAAAAGCTAAAAGTTCGTCAACACCCTTACAGCCACAAGTCGAACTACGAATCACCGAAGATGGATGTGAAATTATCGGAGACAAGTTTAAAAAAGTTTTTCCCATTCACACAGTTTCTTACGGGGTTCAAGTACGTATTGCCTACCTCAAGCCGATTATAAAATATAAACTATAATAATCATAGGCGTGCGCAGCCTCCGGTTTCAGGGGCAGCAAGAGATTGTTCGGCCCATTTTTCAAATTCACCATTAAAACCAGCCCATAGTTTTACTTTTTTTACTATTGGATATCAAAATTAAAATTGTATTGGTTATTTGTTTTTTTGGATAAAAGGTTGTACAGTAAGGTACTAAGCCACTAAAGGTGTACTTTTCTACAAGCCTATATATAAAATATTTATCTATAGTTTATCAAAACAAAAAAAATCCTTTGTGGAAATATAATTTTACCGAGGCCCATTATTTAATATTTGCCGGCCCCGGTGGCCCCAAAGTAAGTCCAGGGGCAGCATATGCTGCCTCTGCTGCCCCCGTGCGCACGCCTATGATAATAATATACCTATTATGTGCTTGTGTTATTATATAGCTTTATGATGAACACACAATATTTATTTGTTTTTGATAAAAGTGAAAATAAATAAATGTCATGTCCATAGGATTTGGTTTACACAAGAGTTTTCTGCATGATAGTCGTTAAAGAACAAATTAGTGCGGACAGAAAACCATTTGATTGTGTGGCGTTTGTCTGTGAGAGTCGTCAAGCTGCGAGAAATTTGACTTATACGTTAGCTACAGCGTTTCAAGTAATTTAATTTATATGTAAATGAATAATTAAAAGTAGATATATAATAACATAATATGTGTATTAAATTGTATGGTAGTAAATAGTTAAAATAAAATAATATAATAATGCATTTACCTATTGGTAAATATATCAATAGGTAGGTAAGATAAGATACATAATATAGTTATATAATAATAATTAATAATATAGTACCTACCTACCTACTATACCCACATATAATATGTTTTTCAATATGTCAATAGCCGTAGGTACCTATATAATATTATATTTGGTAGCCGATAGGTATCTAGGTACCTAGTATAGTAATATTGAAGAATGTAGTGGATGTTTAATTAAAAAACCAATTGTCAAGTGACATATTTTGAAATATTTTGTTAATATTAAATTCAATTAAATAAATATATATTTATTAATTATTATAATATCCAATATATTACAGGTATTTTATATTTTTTTCAATACATCAGTAGATTTAAATGACCTAATACCTATATTAAATTAGGTATCTACCTTATATAGTAATATTGTGGAATAAAATGTACACTGTACCTATGTTTAATTAAAAAACCAATTATCAAGTGACATAATATTTTGATTGTATAATTGTTTTTATAGTAATATTATCATTATTTTACAGTGACATTTGTTGTCTCCGTCTTACAAGCGCTTGACATAGCAAATTTTACACTCAGCAGAACACTTTTATCCCCGCAAGTTTAAAAATTAGAGCAAATTGAGCTCTTATAAAATATAAAGGTAAGACTATTATCTAGATAATGACATAGGCTGTTTATTATATTTTAATTTTAAAGCGAGTTATGTGTGTTTTAAAATTGTAAACTGTTAGTACATTTTAAAATACTCATAACTCGCTTTAAAATTAAAATACAATAAAAATCCTATGTCATTGTCTTGATAATAATCTCTTTAAATTGTATAAGAGGTCATTTCACTCTAATTTTTAAATTAATTGAGATAAACGTGTTCTACTAGGCGTACAATTTGCTATTTTACCCACTTGTAAGACGAAGACAACAAATGCCACTGTCCCTTAAAAGTAATAAGTAATACATTTTTGTATTTTTTTATCGATCAAATAAAAATGTTTAGCCGTATTGATACCAATCATGTGGCCATTAAAGGCATGTGTGCTTTCAATTATGATTCCCTCCCTATAAAATGTATGAGATGTTTTTTTATTCTGCCTCATTGCTTTTTTAATAGAATGCTTATTATATTATACTTTGTTAAAATAAATGTATTACCTATATAATTTATAAAATATTTAATTAATTTATACAAAAATAAAAATTAGTCTAAGCAATGAATAGATAGTAATTTTTAATTATTTATAGGCATATAGCAGGAAAGTACGTAGTACTGGAACATCTAAATCTCGCTTTGCCATTGATTTAAGAACTGCTGATGAACTAGAAATGGATCTTAGAAAAGTTGACTCTGAGGCATAATATTGTCATATTGATCCTTTTGTTTTAGGCTCAAGTGATTATTTAATCATGTTTAATTTATAGATGTTTAATGTTTATGGATTGTATAAATTGTAATATTATTTAAAATAAAAAATGTTGATGGTTAATACGTTATCAATTTTAACTCAAGATTTTATCGGGGATTTTCTAGTACTTATTACTTATTAATATTAGTATTAAACATAATTACAAATATAATTGTCATATTTATAAATTGTAAATACTAAATCAGTAGTATTATAGCAAAAACATTTTTTAAACTATTGATATTTTATAATGTTATATTTTAGTGGTTGTTGGTAATATTATTTATATTTGTAAATATTTTTTCTATAATTGTTACCTACATTGGTATTTAATATTATATTATATTTAATACATAAAATACCAAATTATATTATTACTATTAATTAAATTAATTAAAACGTACAAAAATCTATTATGTTCAATAATTTTAACTGAAGAGTTAAAACTTAATTTATTTATGTAATGTTAAGTACTATAGTAAAAATGTGTCTCACTAATACTGTAATACATCAATGGCTCTCAACCATTTTATGGTCTAAGTCTGATACCCATTATAATAACATGGGTCTGTCAGGGTCTCTAACACTTATACTTATGATTACAAATACAGTGTTGTTAAAATTTCATTTATATAGGAATCCGTTCAATTCCTAATTCCTTTAGTATAAATAGGAATTCGTTCCTCGTTCATTTAATGTCAAAAGGAACTAGTTCAATTCCTAGTTCCTATGAAAAAGGAACTCATTATTTTCCTCGCTTCTCATGGTTCATGAGTTATCAGTTATTATCATAAAAATACTAATCAGAACACAAAGTCATATGTGAATTAAAAATTGGTAGTCTCGTCTATTATTTTTTTTATAAATTAAAAACCTGATAAGTAAACAAAAATACAATATTTTTCTCCCCAAATGTTTTTTTAAACTTTTCCGAGAAGAACAAAAGAATATAATATTAACGTTCCAATTCCTAAAAATAAGGAATTGATTCACATCCCTATTCCTTTAAAAAATAATAGAATTTATTCCTCTAAAAAGGAATCAATTCCAGGAATCGTTCCTTTAGGAACGCTTTCCTTAACAACACTGTACAAATATGTAAAGATATTTTTAATAAAATATTTTTGTCAGTTTGGTTAAACAATAAAAATTAATTTAAGAATCAATTTCCAAAAAAACATATTATATATTATGTAATGATGAAAAAGGGCCAGGTAAACTTTTTTAGGTGTGTTAACTGTAATTTTAAAAAAGTAGGCAAGTGGATGACACTCTGCTGTACGGTAGGTTACAAGTGGGTCACTGTAATGGATGATATTAAATTTGAATTCAGTGATAAAATATCATTGTGTACGAAAACGATTCTGAGCAAAGACTTTATGTCAACTTGTAATATTACGTTAGGTAGGCGTATTTTTTTGATATTATTGTAAGTAAAGTAATTAATTTTGGTATTGGGCATTAGTATTTACTACAGTAGGTTAAATTCATTTTTTCCAAAATTTGCATTTGAAAATGTCATTGTATATATAAAATATAATAATTTAGGTACTCTAAAAGTTTCATATACCCACGAATAATATTTTTAAATTACAACGGTGCGTATAGGTGATGTAAGATGTTAGACTGTTTTGTTTTTTGTCGTTCATAATAGACTAGTGTATTTATGACGTAGGTATAGGGTATATGAATAATATTGTGACACTAGGGTATCGACGGATGTTATATTAATATTATATAGGTAATACTACCTACTATATTATATTACAGTAGGTATATGATATAATACTAATATATTATAATGTATAATGTAAAGAGTATAGACAATATGTGCATCACTTAGGTTCTTGTCAGTTTATCAAACATGTCTTTTTTCAAAGCTCTGAGTATAATGTTTTATATTTTTACTTCCCCCTCCCAAGCTGTATTTATAAACAATTTTATACTGTTAAAAACAAAATTACCCAAAAAAATCCTCATTTTTTTTGAAAATTATGACTTCCTCCCTCCCCCTAATCATGTCTCTGGAGCCGCCCATGTTTGTATTCGAACGTTTGACATATTATTATTATAGGTGTAGTAACCACAGTAAACGGAGTCATTACAGCTCTTATGCTGTCAAAGGTATATTATACCTTTATGTACATATGTAAGTATACTTAATAATATATTACATCCACTTCTATGTTAATAACATGTCATCCAGTTCAAGACTTCAACAACTCGACATTTAACAAATTTGAGTTACCTATGTACACCATCTTATATTCTTATGACGATTTCAGTTCAAGAACGCAGTAAAATCTAGTTAAATTATTGACTAGGAGAGAGCAATCTCAGTATTATAATTTACATTACGATACATAGAGAAAAAATATAGAAAACCCATTATACCCAACAAACCAATATTTTGAGTTGTTGCAGTCTACAACTGGATACCTAGTCGTTATGATCTAAATCTCAATCTTTGGCAAATGTACCACAACACTACAACTTACAGCCCTCAGGGTAGGCAATGGTCCACCTAGCCACCCCCGTGAGCACACCTATGACCTATGTTTGGCATTGAAGACTGAAATCATCACTAGAGCTTGTACAAAAATATTATAATACATAGGTAATAATAATAATATCATAGTTTATTAGGCGCCTCAATTAAGGCCCCTGCAAATGTGTCATTTTTAAGGAGTTGTGTTTAGGGCGTTTAGACAATTATTTCGTTCCTGCGATTACTGATCGACTTTGTGTGTGTAGTAATTGATCATTAGTGTGTGTTACTCCCCTATACCATCATGATAAATTTGTCATGCCTACCATCACCCGCGATTCGCGAACCACATCAATTTACAATACATTGTTATTTCCGGTTTATGGTCGCACGCACACACATACACAGGTCATTTAATGTCTATAGATCAAAATATTCAAAACCAATATTAATTATAGACGTGAAATAGCCGTCGCACTGACAAAAATTAAGGTACTTCGATCTAGTATTCTAGTGGTTCGATTTAAAAAATGTAAAGATGATTGTGTTAGTAAATAAATTTACTTTGCATCGGTCGGAGCACTTTTTCAATTTTAGCAAATTCCTGACGAGAAAAAATATTTTACATTTTATAAGATAAAACTTTATTGATATTCATAGGAAAAAAAATAAAAATATTAAGAATTACAATGTTAAGAAAAACCCCCTCGTACAATGACATAAGATACATCCTGTATATTTATGGCCTTACTAAATTTGAGTCATATATGAATCTTGGTTGGTTCTTACTTCTTACTACTTACTATACATAGATATTTAAATTGCCTATATCGAGCTCCTTAAAAAGGCGATCGTTTGCTTGAGATAATGAGGTATCACAAACATGTTTTAAGGAGTTTGGTTTAGGCAATTTCAATATGTTATTATTAATTATGTCATTATCTCTATAAAATTATATATAATACAGTCGATTCCGCTTTATTGGGACACATCGGTTGGGTGTTATTTTGTCCCAATAAAGCGGTTGTCCCAATAATCCGAAATACAAAAACCAACATATAAATTTGTTGAAAAACTGATTTGTTTTATATATTTTTATTATTACAAATTACAAACAATGTATTATAGAAATTATTTGATAGTACAAAAAGAAAAACATGATATAACCTAATTATTTATAAAAATACTTACATATAAAGTAGGTACATATAAATATTTTTTATTTGTTTATTATGTATTTTATCTTATTTAAAAAAACTGTTGATTTCGGTACTCCTAAAATTTCCGAAATACGACGTGTATTACAGCCTGGTAGCTGTAATTTAATTTTGTCCAGAATTTCTAATTTTTGAGCAAACGATAAATCTTTACGTACACGAGCCATCGTTGCTACACGCGACAAACACGACTGATGCACCATTGCACCAAATAACATTTAACAACTATCACATTTGAACATACGATAAAAGATAAGATAAAATAAAGTTAAATAAGATAAAATGTAATGTAATAATCGATTACGAGAGTCCGTCACGATTGTTGAACTATTGATCTATTAATATACTCGATAGAAATGTCCCAATTATCCGGATTCGTGGCCCAAATAAGCGGTGAATGTTTACCCTACAAGTATACATTTGTTTTTGTAATTGAAGAATTGTCCCTATTAAGCGGTTGTCCTTATTAACCGGTGTCTCTATTAAGCGGAATCGACTGTATAATATATTATACTTATATAATATTATATGTATTCTATAAATGTTTGTTAGGCTTAACTGAAAATATTCTATCAAATTACTAATCCAAAAGAAATGTCATGGACAAATTTTTGTATTGATCCGTTAATAATCAGGCCTTAAAATTACTAAAAGATCGTTATACATGTTTTATTTTATAAGCCCCCGAGTTGTTTATAATATTTGCTCCCACTGGCTTTGATACCAAAGTCTAAGTGTTGTTTTCATGTAACGAGTATTTCCTCACTCATGGCCTGTTTCAATTTATCCGCATGCATACAATTGATTGTCTCATTTTAATTAATTGGTTCAGCTGTAAACGCTGTACATGCATAATATATCTAATTAATTTTGTTTATTTGTTCTCGGTTTCTTAGATTATATGAGCTTTCCAACTCATCATCTTTTTCAGTTTCATTTGTAATTTCATTATTTCATTATAGATTTCTTCACACTCGTTTTCATTTATTCAAATTTCAAATATCATTCACAGTTATTTCATTCTTAAAAATAACTTCTCTGCTCATTTTTAATTCGTTTGTTCCTGGATACCATATTGTAAACGAACATTCGTATCCTTTTAATTTTTCTACATATCCGACGAATATACATTTTTCACTCTTAGAGTCCCATTTTTTACTTTTATTCTTCGGTATAATATCATACATTATGTGAAAAAAACATTTGTACCAAAATCTCTTAAATGTTTAATCTCAGGTTGTTTTTTAA